CTCTTGACATGAACCTGAAAAAGGTATTATGATATATGTGTAAAAGGACACAACTTGTTCTAACATGACACCTGCAAAGAACATTCACTACTTTCATCATTCTGAGAACATCAGCTCTAACTGAATACTGGCAGTAAGCCCAGTCAGGAATATTCTCAGGTAAGCTGACATTTCTTAAGGGAACACATGCAAAATTTCCATGGTCACTACCATGGCTGGGGCCATCATGCTAATTACATGGTTATGTGAAATTACTCAACACTCACAGAGAAAGACAAAAAGTTTCTTTAAAATATAATAAATGAAAACTCCTGGTTTCTAGAACTGGTAAGGGATCCATCATTTCCTATCTGAACGCCTGCAAGGAAATCATGGTAACAAGCGTGAGGGATATCATCATCACTTACCTGCCTACCTGGAGATCAGAAAGCCTGTGCTGTGGTTGAGGCCCATATCGTCACTTACCTGCATCCCAGCCATGTCCCACCATCCACGACCAATGTTAGGTTCACTGTGATCTCTTGAAGGAAACGTGAAAGACATGTTTTGAAACATTTGTTAGGGGCACAGTTTTTTCTACCAGGACACCTGCAAATAATCTTGCTCACTTAATCGTTCGGAGATATATCAACTTTACCTGGATACTTACAGTAATCCAAGGTTGATGCCAAGGTTGGAAAACTGTCATTTCTTGACTGGACACCTATACAAATCCTATGGGTAGTACTGTGGTGGGGAAAATCATGATAAATACCTGTATACCTGTAACCCTTGGGCATTCCTAGTGTTAAACATAAATTTTCCCTAACATATAAAAAGTGAAAAGTCATGGTCTCTAGATTTGGTAAAGACTACCTGTTCATTTCTTACCTGAGCACCTGCAACAAAGTCACGGTGACAAGCAGCACTGACACCCGTCATCACTTACCTACGTACAGGAAGACTGGATGGTTTAGGCCCACGCCATCACTTATCTCAACACCAGCGATGTCCCGCCATCAACTGCCATAGAGAGGCTCGCTGCCTGATCTCTTGGCAAGCCCTGAAAAACACAGTGTGAAAAATGTGCTTGGTACAGTGTCTCGTTCTACCTGTACACCTGCAAATTCCCTTGTCATCTGTATCATTTTGGGACCATTCAACATTACTTGGATACTTGGAGAACTCTGAGGTCAAACTCTAGTAACACACACCTTCCTCCCACGAACAGCTACTTGCAAATATCCCACGGTTAATAACGCAGTTAGAACAATATGACAAACTACCTGGATGCTTGCAATCTGTCTACCACTACAAGTGAGAAATACACGTTATCTCTGTACAAGAATACAGTAAAAATTACCACTTGCTACTATTACTAGGGACAAATTAATTTGGCTTACGCTTGCCAAAAAACAAGGTAAATATCAGGTAATTACATAGATATGTGAAAATAAGCAATCCTCTAATGAGTTAATGTCACATCTCATACCTATGTACCACCAAAGACCTGAACAGAATACCTGCAAAAAACAAAAATAGGGGAGCACAAGTGTTACGGACACAATCATCACTTACTCATATGTGTGAAGATCACATGATCTGGGCTGTGGTTTAGGCCCAAATTATCACTTACCTCAATACCTGCTATGTGCCTTGTTACCTGCTGTTGATAGGTTCACTGTGATGTCTTTACATGAAGCTGAAAAAATTGTGTAAATTGTGTTTGGTATACATCTTATTCCACTGGGACACCCACAAATTCCTTGTTCAATTCTATCATTTCAAGACACATCGGCCTTCCATGGATAACTGGATATCTGAGATTAAACGTTAATAAGACATACCTTCCTCTCTTGAAGGGATGCCGGCAAAAATCCCAGGGTGAATAACAACCACTGATGGGCAGTATGAGAAACCACCTGGCCATCTACTGATCCATCTAGCACTCTGTGTATATAAAACCCATAAACCCGGGCTTCCCTGGTGGCACGGTGGTTGAGAGTCCGCCTGCCAATGCAGGGGACACGGGTTCGTGCCCTGGTCTGGGAGGATTCCACATGTTACGGAGCAGCTGGGCCCGTGGGCCATGGCCGCTGAGCCTGTGCGTCCGGAGCCTGTGCTCCGCAACGGGAGAGGCCACAACAGTGGCCGCGTACCACACACACACACACAAACCCCCCCCCCCATAATCCCTAAACAAGAATACAGTCAAATATCCTGCTCACTGGTATTGTTGGGGTGAATTTAATTTCTGAACTGCATACGTGCCAAAGCCATACTTAAAGTAGTCTTGAAAGCATCATCATTCACACATATGAAAATAAGAAGCTTTCTAATGAGCTAAAGTCACATAACCTAATACCTGCATATTAGGAAAGGACTTAACAAAACACTTGCAAAACGACAGGATAACACTGTGTTAGGGAAATCATATTCATTTACCCAGATATCTGAAGATCACATGGCCTGTCACCTGCAAAAGGCCCACACTATCACTTACTTGGATAAAAGCCATGTCCCTTTAATGATCATTAAGAAGTTCACCATGATCCCTAGACAGGAACCTGGAAAACACATTGTGACAAATGTGCCTATGGACACAAGTTTACTTACTACCTGGACCCTGAAGATAACCCTGTCATGACCATCACTGCAGGACTCAGCAAACCTACTTGGAATCTTGCTATACTCCAAGGCCTAGGCCACTGTTACACAGACCATTATCTCCTGCATTTACACCTGCATGGAACCTTGGTTAGTACTGTGACTCATAGCTCTACGAGGATTACATGGGTATCTGTCACTCAACAATCAGATGGTTAAATATCAAGTTTTCTAAAATATAAAACTATAGGATAACATGGTTGCTAGATGTGTAAGGTGTCTACAATTTCTTACCTGACTACCTGCAAAAAAAGTCATGATAACAAGAAGTGTGAAGACACATCAGCATTACCTAGATATGTGAATGTTGATCGTCTGTGTTGTGGTTTATACCCACATCATCCCTCACCTCCACACCAACACGCTGCAATGTTCACTACCACTGATGCGCTTACTGTGATGTGTTATCCTGAATCTGCAAAACAAACTGCAGTAAATGTAGTTGGTACACATGTCGTTCTACCTCTATACCCCCAGATTCCCTTGGTCACTTCTGGTATGATTTTGGTACACATCAACACTACCTGGACACTGGCCTGCAGACACTGGGGTCAAACCCTAGGAAGAGACACCTTCTTCTCAGAAGGGCTCCCTGCAATAATCCCTGAGCTAGTAATGCTGTGATGCCAACATGATAAATTACAAGAATCCCTGCATCTTTCATTAGTAGTTAAGTACCTGTTACCTCTAAAGAAGGACATAAGAATCTTATGAGTATTATTAGGGACATATGAACTTCGTAACCACATATATGGAAAAAACTAGGTAAATTTAAGAGTCTCAAAAACATTCATTTTGTAAATACTGATATTGGGAATGTCTCTGAGTTATTGTCACGTCATCTCATACCTGTTCACCATCAAAGACCTTAACAGGATCCCTGCAGCAAACCACGGTAACACTGTGTGAAGAGACCGCATGCTCACTTACCTAGGTGTCTGAGGTCAAATGACCTGTACTG